ACGCTTCATCAGAGGCTGCACTGAGGATGCTACCAAGCACGGTAACGAAACGTCTGCAGAACAACAAACCAGCTTGGCGAGCCAAACAACCTCAAAACATGTTTTTGAACAGATGTTTTGTGCATATGAAGACCAGCCATTATTTAAATATGACTTATTCATTTTTTTCAGAACAAAATGAATGAATAGCTTGTGATAGCTGTACTTCTGAGTTTTGAAATTAATCAACTGCTTACTAGTGGACAGATACTTACATGTTCATCTGACATTGCTGTCTTGATATTCTAATGGAAGTGTTCATTCATTTACTTTAAATTGAATTTCCCATTAAACGGTACAAAGAAGAATGTCAGATATGCATGTTAAGCATTTAAACTTTTCATAAAGGTACATGAAGTCTAATATTTTCATCTTGCAGTCATCAGGACTGAAACACAAGAAAACCAACTTTAGAAAGGAAGCAACAGTTACTGAGCACCAGGAGAGAGTACTGTTTGGTTGGACTTTGGTTGGCCTGGTGATGCATCACAAGCTGTTAACTAACTTAGTTACTAAATGTTAATCATTTGTAACTTCATATCCAAGATGAGTAGAATACACAATAGTATAAGTTGCACACATAGTCCGTTTGAAAGAATGAATCCGTTAGGCCAAGTGGCTTTTATCTTATTTCATACTAACATTCTTATGCTTTTCCATGTATTACATATGTAATCCACATGTATTATTTATAATAATTTTAAGTATAAATAAAAATCTAATTGGCTTATTATCAAACCATCACTTGATACAAATGTAGAAAATGGTTATTTGAATTTTAATCCCAATTACAAGCTATCCCAACTGTAGAAATTGAATGGTTTTGATGCCATTCTATATCCCTGCTACTTGGGGTAAACAGAGAACAAAATTAGCCGAGGTACAGAACAGGTGCCTGACTTGAACTTACTTTATTCCTATAAAATGGTTAAACTAAAACTAAAGCATTTGTTTTATAACATTTCAGTAACAAATGAGAGCTGAGTTTTCAGCTCATTTTTGGCTTAGCTGCAAAAATGATTATTGTTGATTTGTAATCAATGTAAATGAATTGATGGATTAGATATTTGATACCAGCTGGTTATTGTGCAAAATTTTAAAAATGAGAATAGCACCCTCTATAAGATTGTTCATCATAACAAGTTTAAAGTATTTTTACAATATTTGCTTACAAAATTACAATGATAAAATATACTTATTCTTATGAAAATTCTGTCAAAGATGAGAAAAGTTGACAGGTGTACATGGCCATCTATTATATTGAGGTGACCATCTATCCTTTTTACGCCCAGTTGGAACAATTTCTGACAAATGGTAGTCGAATTATCACCTTTCGGAATGGCACAAGAAAGGAGGTCAGTGCAGATGGCCAGTCTGTCACAATCACATTCTTCAATGGAGATGTGAAAACATTCATGCCAGATCAGAAAGTGGTATGTACAAATGATGTCTTACACTAGTTATTACAGGTTGAAGAAAGCAGCACAAACTAATCAAATGTTAAAAGAGACACAGGTTTTGAGATATTAATATAGAGAATGCATTTCAAACTATAATTATTCATATTGAGCTTCTTAAAATTCACATCACAATATGACTTCATTCCTATAGAAGAAAACTAGTGTCAGAAAGATGTGCTCTACTTGGATTTCCAGAAGTCTTTTAATAAAGTTCGGCAAGGGAGAGTATTGGAACTAAATTGGATAGTGGAACTAAATCGTGGAAGTATTTGACAATGTCATAATGGCTGTTGAGTTTTATTTTATTGATCAACTTGACAAAGGTTTATTAATATGATTAAATTTACTAGTATGTGTAAGCTGGAATACGACAGTGGTTGTGAGCTGCTTTATTTCATCCTGTTTAGAACTCTGCAAACAGTTTTCACTCAGCACCCACCACACCCCAACAGAAACATTAACAAAGTAATATTTTGTCAAACAGTCATGTGCTTCCCCTCCCATTTGCCTGGATTAGTGCACCTCCAACAACACTCAAGAGGTTTGACACCATCTAAAACATTGGCACCACATTCACAGACATTCATTCCTTACACTCAGGAGCAGCAGTGTGTAACATCTACAAGATGTTGTGCAGAAATTCACCAAGGCTCCTTAGACAGCACCTTCCAAACTCATGACTATTTGCATTTTGAAAGATAAGAGCAGCAGATACATGAGAACGCTACCAATTGCAAGTTTCCCTCCAAGCCACTCACCATCCTAACTTGATAATATAATCTCATTCCTTCAGTGTCGCTGGGCAAAAACCCTGTAATTCCCTCCTTAATGGAATTGTGGCTCTACCTATATCAAATGGACCACAGCAGTTCAAAAGGGTAGTTCATACCACATTCTCAACAGCAACTAGTGATTTGCAGCAAATGCTGGCCCAGCTAGCCACACCTACATACCATTAATGAATTTTTTAAAAGGTGTAGTCGTCTCTACCTGGGAACCTGGGACCTCAGGAACTCCAAAGCTCAGAGGATATATCTGGCCATATCTCAGTAGTTATTTAGAAGCTGCCTGCCTCTACTTCTGTTGAAGCCTTCTGAGAAGTTGCCCTACTATCACTATAAACATTGAAAATCTTGATGGAAAGCAGATATTCATTAATTATGGCAAGGTAAAACATGTTGAATGTATTTTGTAGATGATCATATTTTGCTCACTAATTACATAGTCAACATAATTGAATCAATGGATCACTGATTCTTCAAAAGATAGTTTGGAAGTACCTTTCTCCACATCGCCAATGATGAGGCATGCCAAAATGCTACTAATTTCAATCACTTTCTTCTCTGAATTTGCCAACTGCACAAATTGTGGAGGATCGCCTCTGGAATTTTCTTCTCCATAGTATTCTGTGCTCCCTTCTGTAATGGGGAAAGAACAAACTTCTAAAGATTCTGATGACATTTGTTCACTCAGTCAATCAATCATGAGGTTTATTATATTACTAATGTTTAAAGTATCCCAAAGAACCGTTAATTTAGTTCAATAATTAGTTACGAAAATAATTAATTACAACAAATTAACAAAATCATGTCACTCACGCTCAAGCTGGACTCGTCCAAATTCTCTCCAGGGGAGATGATGTATTGCATTTACAGAATTTGAGAGCTCTTGGACACAGATATAATCCATGGCAAACACATCTACACTAAGTGTCAGTGACTCTAAGAACTTAGGTTTAGAATTTTTGAGCTGGAGGCTGAGCTGCAGACATTGTGGTACGTAAAGGTAGGGGAATGTTACCTGGATGCTTTGTATCAGGAGGCGGTCACATCCTTAGAATAGGATTCCTGATTTGGTGAGTGATCAGAGACAAGAGAATGTGATTTCAAATGAGGTAGGTAATGGGACCCAGAGGGCAGAAGTTCAGGAGTCTAAGCCTTTGCAATTGTCCAACATATTCGAGGTTCTTTCAACTTGCTGAAATGAAAGTGTACAACAGAGTAAATGAACTAATTGACTTAGGCACTGTGGTATAGGAAGCCATTCAAGTTAGGTATTTGGGGTGCCAGGGAAAAGGAATGTCTTGCTTGTGTTGGAGGCAGCATAAGTAGCGAGGGGTTTGGAATTAGCACTATTCCTTGCAGCACAGAGTGAGAGTTCAGATGGCTATGTTGTCTGCTGGTGCTGGAAAGGAACCTACACCAGGAGAGGGAGGATGCAATCATCATGGCCCATGCAGGTACCAATGTCCTAAGCAGGACAGGAAAGAGGCTCTGCAATGACAGTATGAAGAACTGGGTACCAAATTAAAAAGCAGAACTGCAAAGATATAATAACACTGAAGTCATGTGTAAATTGGCATAGAAAAGATAAAACTACAGAAATGAAAGGATGTCTCAAAGACTGGTATGGGAGAAATGGGTCCCATTCACAGGGGACTGGCACCCATACTGTGGAATGTGGAGACTGTCCATTGGGCAGTCTGCACCTGAGCCGTGCTGGGGCCAATGTTATAGTAGATTGTATAATAAGGAAGTTGTGAAGATTTTAAACTAAATAGTCAAGATAGGAATCAAATTTGGGAAGATTTAGTGAATCAATAAGACAAAACATGAAAGAAAAATACTTAGATAGGAAGTTATAAACTGACTGTGACTTGAAAGGGTAGTGAGTACAAATCTAAGTACATCAATAGATAAGGCTAGAAGCTTCAAAATAATAAACAGGTAAAACTAAAAGCCCTCTACCTGAATGCACATAGCATTCAAAACAAAATAGATAAGTTGATAGCACAAAGAGAAAAAAATAAGTACACAGTGGCTCAGTGGTTAGCACTGCTGCCTTATAGTGCCAGGGATAAAGGTTCAATTCCAGCCTCAGACAACTGTCTGTGTCTGTGTGGGTTTGCTCTGGTTTCCTCCCACAGTCTTAAAGGTTAGGTGGCTTGGTCAAGCTAAATTGCATTTGGCGTCCAGGGATACGCAGGTTAGGTGGGTCAGCCAGGCAAAATAGAGGGTTACAGGGATAGGATAGAAGGGATGAGTCTGGGTGAGAGTTGGTGTGGAATTGTTAGGCCGAATGACCCATTCCCACACTTTAGGGATTCTAAGTAAGAATTCTAAGAAAACAATCACAGACACATGGTAGCTTAATGATGTACATTGGGATCAAAATATTAAAAGTATACCTGACATTTAGGAAGGATATAAAGATCAGAAAAGCTGAAGATATGGCTCTGTTAATTAATGATGGTATTAGTGCAACAGAGAGAGATGATTCAAGTTGAGGAAACCATAATGTAATATGGTTTAGATAGAGATGGGAAATGAATAAAGACAAGAAGTCACTTGTGTGAATGAAGTACAGGCCCCCTAACAGTAACCATGTGGTAGGATGGAGTATAAAGGAAGCAATAGTGGGAGCTTGCCAGATAATCATGGGAATTTTAATTTACATGCTTTTTTATTGACTCATGGAACATGGGCATTGCAGGCAGACAAGTCAGATCACAGACAGGAATCTGGCTTGATGGATCATATTTTGATTAGTTTTGGTTGTAATACAGTGGTCTCTCACTGAAACATATGAAAGCTGTCACTGAAAGCACACAACACTGCAGATTTTGCTGTAATAATAAAACAGGAGTTTATTAGCAAAAGAAATGAAGATAAAATAGAATAAAGCAAACCACATACATATAACACCTTTACAAATATTTTAAATATTGAGTAAAATTAAGTAAAAGAAACAAAACAGCTTTTGTGAAGTATGCAAAACAAACCTTGGTGTGGTACCCAAAAACACCATTGATACAATACTCACACCAGAGTCACTACATCTAACATCTCAGTAGATTTAAGTGACTTGTGATTTCAGTTTTAAGACTGGAACTGCAGATAGCTTCTTCCTAGAACTATTGCACACTTGCTTAAGTGCACTCAGATTTAAATAATCTTGTCAAGGTTTTATCCTGATATTGTTGGGATAAACTCCTGGTCTGGGACTAACACTAATTCTGCACTCTAAGGTAAACCAATACAATATATATCCCTCCCTTCTCAGAAGCCATCCTACTGCAAAGATTTCATTGGACTGCTCCACTCAAAGTAAGACTTTAAACTAAAATTTCCCTTTCTAATCTGTGGATTTTTCCCTCGAGTTTAAAACAACAAAATCCAAAAATCTCTAACAAACCTTGAGGCCCTGATATTAACCTTGCAGGGTTGCAGAATAATCTCAAATACACAAAAATCCATTTGTGATGCACAAAACCTATTCAGTCCGCAAAAACTGTTCTAAAAGAAATCACCATTTCTATACAAATGGTTACAAGTTAAGCATTGAGTTCAGAAACCCAAACGAACAATAAACAATTTTAAAAATGTATATGTAAATCCCATCACAGGACTTTTCAGATTTCAGAATGCACAGAGTAGATACATCTCAACAAGAAGGAAGCATTTCAAGAGGAGGACCCACCATCTTTTGGTGAACTAAAATGGTTAAAGATGATAAAAAGTTTGAGAATAACATATAATTGTGCAAAAATGGTAGGCAGGTCAAAACTTTGATAAAAGATTGGTCAAAAGAATACAAAAACAGCAGATGCATCTGTCTCTGGCAGTATTGGAGGAGTGATGACTGCACAATCGTTATGAAGACAAAGTCCCATCTTCATATTGAAGTTACCCTCCATCATGTTGTGTAGACTTCAGTGGTTCAAGAAGGCAGCTTACCACCACCTTTTGAAGGCAAGTAAGGACTGGCAACATATGGCCAAGCCATGATATCCAAATACCATGAATGAATAACAAAAAAACACGCAACTAAGATCGAGATGCTTAGAACTGGGCATCAATGAGCTGCAGCAGCACCAGAATTGTACTCTCACATCTATAAGGTCATGGCCTGGCATATCCTGCACTCTACTTGTACCATCAAACCAGGGGATCAACCCTGGTTCAATGATGAGTGTAGGTGAGCATACCAGGAGAAGCACCAGGCAAACCTAAAAATGAAATGCAAACCTGGTGATGGTACATCACAAGACTACTTGAGTGCCAAACAGAATATACAGCAAATAATACAGCTATGAGATTTCACAACCAATAGATCAGTTCTAAACTCTGTATTCCTTAGTAGTAAATTGTGGGCAATTAACTCACTGGAGGAGGAGACTCCACATATTCTCATTCTCAATGAAAGGGGAGCACACCACATCAGTGTAAAAAATAAGTCGGAAGTATTTGCAACAATCTTCAGCAAAAAGTGCTGGTGAATGATACACCTTGGCCTCCTTCAAGGTTCTCTGTATCACAGGTGCCAGTCTTCAGCAGTTTGATTCACTCCATATCAGATGAAGAAACAGCTGGAGGCACTGGATACTGCAAAAGCTATGGGCCTTGGCAAATTACTGGCAATAGTACTAAAGATCTGTGCTCCAGTACTAGCTGTGCCTTTAGTCAAGCTGTTCCAGTATAATTACAACACTGGTATCTACTCAGCACTGCAGAAAATTGTGCAGATATGTCCTGTTAACAAAAATCAGGACATATCCAACTTTGTCTAACTGTCCCGTCAATCTAAATTAAATCATGAAGTGATGGAAAGGGTCATGAATAGTGCTATCAAGCAGCTGTTGCTTAGCAATAACCTGCTTACTGAAGCTGTTTGGTTTCCACCAAGCATGGACAAAAGAACTGAACTTCAGAGGTGAGGTGAGAATGACTGCCCAGGTCTTGCTGCGTTTGGACATGGCCTGGAACATTTCAGCTGCCTAAATACAGGCAATGACCATCTCCAAGAAAGAGAACTATTGCCCTTTGACATTCAATGACAAAACCATCACTGAATTCCCCACTATGAACATCCTGGGAAATATCATTGACCAAAACTGAACTGGACCAGCCATAAAAATACTGTAACTACAAGAGCAGGTCAGAGGCTAGAAATATTACAGCAAATGGCTCACCTCCTGACTCTCCAAACTCCGTTCACCATCTACAAGGCACAAATCAGGAATGTGACGGAATACTCCCAGTTGCCTAGATGAGTGTAGCTTCAACAACATTCAAGAAACTTCATTCTACCTAGGACAAAGCAGCCTATTTGATTTTTAGTATATTCATAAACATTCGCTCCTTCCATCACTAACACATAATAGCAGCAGTATGTACTATGAACATGACGCACTGTAGGAATTTCCAGGGCTGCTCAGACAAAATCTTTCAAACCTATGACCACCACCATCTAGAAGGACAAGTGCAGCAGATACATTGGATCACCACGACCTGCCAGTACTTCTCCAAGACAGTCACCATGCTGATGTGGAAACACATCACTATTTCTTCACTATCACTGGGTCAAAATCCTGGAACTTGTTCCCTAACAGCTTTGTGGGTAAACTTACACCAACTGGATTGCAGTAGTTCATGAAAGCAGCTCACCACCACCTTCTCAAAGGCAATGAAAATGGCCAGTCAATGCTGGCAGAGCCAATGATCCCACTTCCCCTGAATGAATACAAAAAAGACTGAGCTGGTTAGCTGAGTGTCAGATAAAGTGATGATACCCATTTATCAGTACTGCTCTTTTGCTCTCTCCTCCTCCCTGTGAGGATGTTACACTGTCAGATCATGGGTTCAGATTCCAGTTCTGACTTCTGGGGTAGTCCTTGAGGACGTCCTAGTTCTCCCATAGAACAATGACTTCTAGTATTCCAACCATCTTCCTCACCATTGCTGCAGCACTGTGTCTGTCAACTGACAACCTCCCTCTGTCCTGGTGTTCACTCAATCATCATTTAAGTTGCAGGTATTCTTCTGTGTGGCTTATCTTTAAGAAGTAGCCTGCCTTTGAGTAGATTACGTGCATCCTGGTGTTTCTCCAAAGGTACTGGTCTGCCTTGCTGAATGAAAAGGGAACTGACAGTTTTAAGGAGTAGGCGTTACTGAACATGCTTGCCTAGATGCTACAATCACACAATTTTCATGCTGTTCATATTCAATTGAAATTGGTTGCAGACCATGAACTCTGTGTCCAAAAATCAGAATAACCACATTTCTAGCCCATCGTGTCAAGTTCACGTATGCGGAAAGACATGGAGCAAGATACAGGCACAGCTGAACCATGGTTTGCACCTTAGCAAATGTATATGTGTGTGCATGAGTGAAGAGAAAAAATCAAGAAAGAAAATGTTTTTAACCGTCTAATGTTTTAACCGTCTAAAATAAGTAACATGTTCTGAACTCTTGTAGATTTACTACTATGCTGATGCAAAGACAACTCATACTACATATCCAAATGGAATGGAGATGTTACAGTTTCCTAATAACCAGATAGGTAGGTGTTTTAATGAATCTATAGTCAATTATGTTAATTTAATGCTGTATTGGAGAGATAACAGGTGATTTAATGTCCCTGAAAAGAGATTCAGTTGGAACATAAAAAAAACCTGCTGTTTCGAAGATTCGAGGTTGATCCATTGCTTTCCTTAGGGCTCATGCCTTACATTTTAGGTTTGCACTCCATTTGTTTTTGTGTATCCTTTCTTTGCCCTTTCTCTCTTTAGCTGTAGAAAGATTGTCAATGGATTGAAACTGCCTTCTGAACTTTTCCTAAAACTATTTTTATTGCCCTCTGCTGATACTCCATTTAATTATCTGCATTCCTCTAAGATTCATCTGCATATGGATATCTGTTCCTGAACCAGCATGTACCTTCCACACATCCACACAAGTTAATACCTGGAGCGATAAATAATAATTATGTTAATAAGCTGACTACAAAAAGACTGGGTTGAAGGTTTGGTTCATATTTGCCCCGTTTCAAATAATTTAGCTGTAATCTGAACACATTTTGGAGTGTTTAGATGTGTATGTCAGAAAACTATTCAACTGTGTGATATCACACATCCAGGGAAAATTTTTTTAAAAACCACAGTAGTTTGAAACATCTTGAAACATAGAAACTGCTGTATGTTGGAAATTGTTCTTGATTGTCATCATCAGTAATCACTCACTAACCCATCCCAGGGCAAGTTCCAGTCCTTCCCTCCATTAAAACCAAGAGAAATCATTTCAAATGTGGAACATTTCATCTGTCTGTGGAGCGATCTCTCATCTAAAGCTGATATCAATGTGGGATCCAACACCACATCCAAACTGTGAGCACTGCCTTTGGACACCTAAGGATGAGAATCTTCAACGGCCATGACATCCATGTGATACCAAGATCCTTGTGTATCCTTGAGTCATCCTTCTGATTCTTCTGTATGGTTCCAAAACTTGGACTATGTTTAGATGCCACCTCAAGACCCTTGAGAAGTACCATCAATATTTTTTGAGGTAGATTATCTACATCAGCTGAGAAGATAAACAAACAAGCATTGAGGCCATGATCATTCAAAACCAACTCCACTGGACTGGCCATGTGCTTAGGGTGCCTGAATACCAAAGCAAATCTTCCTTGCCCACTGACTAAAGGCAGTTGAACAAGAGGAGTACAAGAGGAAGCATTTCAAAGATTCCCTGAAGGCTTCCCTCAAGAAATGCAACATAGATGTCAATGTGTGGGAGATCCTTATTCAGAAGATACTGTCTTGGAGGAACCTCCTGTATGATGGGACACCATTCTTTAAGAATACTTGTCAGCAAGAGGAAGTATGGGAAAGGAATTGCAGAAAGAAATGCCAGTGATCTCAAGGTCAAGGGCCAACTCCGCCTCCTGGAAACACCTGCCAAATGTGGCTGTAGAGCTCCAATTTAACATCTAACACCAAAGGCAATTTCTCTGACAACATCAAATACCCTCAGTTCCATCCTGAAATTACAATCTGATTATATGCTTATCTCCTGAAGTGATTCTACTAACTCAGGAACAAGATATCTACCACTTAAACCAAGTTATTATTCTGACACCAGATTAACTTTATCTGCATCTGATGCCCACATTAATGCACTTGCAACAAGTAAAAACAAGGACCCTCCCTAGCTGATGGGTAATTGATGTCAAATGCAATGATACTGAAAATTGACAGGTGAAGTTGCACATGTTGGTCTATTACAATGCTGTTATTTCTTGCATTTTCTTTTATGTGATTTGAAACAACACCTTTCTTATGATTTTGGTAAAATATTGCTATTTTTTGTTTCACAGAAAAGCATTACCCTGATGGTAAGAAGGAAATACTATTTCCAGACCAGACAGTCAAACATCTTTTTCCTGATGGTCGTGAACAGAGTATATTCCCAGATGGAACAATAGTAAATCTGCAGAAGTAAGTGTATTTCTCCCCAATTTTCCCTCAGGCTTGTGTATCTCTCCTATCCCCCTAAGGAAGTAAATGTATTTCTCTCTTATTTGCTCAGAGTTGCTTTATTCTCATTCCTATTTGATGTACTTTCAACTCTTGTTTGAGATACATTTTTCTCATGTCTTTAGACCTATCTGGTCTAAATTATTCTCGATAGCTTTTCCTTGCCAACTCATTGTTCATGAATTGTTATATATGTACTTGTCCTGAAAATACTGATAGCTTCTTACAAAGTTATCATTATTGTTTTGACACTATATTGATGGTTAAATCATTTTCAAAATATTGATGGTAGACAAATGCATCTTAATACTCTGGAATGGTTATCCACTTAGAAGTAAACAAATTTGACAATTCACATCCTTTCCTGTCAGATCCTGTAGCCTGTCATTTCTACTTTTGCATAACTCCACAGTCCTCTGTTAGCCAGTAAACTAACTACGTTTAACATCCTTACTTCACTTTAAATTCTCCATGCTTTTCAATACCTCTGTCTAACACAAAAACAGAAATTGCTGGAGAAACTCAGCAGGCCTGGCAGCATCTGTGGAGAGAAAGCAGAGTCAACATTTTGGGTCCAGTGACCATCATCAGAACACCCCAGCTCTCTATTCTAGCCATACATCTTCATATGGGTTGTCCATTATTCTGATTACTGTCAGATTTTTCTTTGCTCACCACTCCCTCCTATGTCATTAAGTATAGACTTATCAAGGTATTGGTTATTGTTGTTGTTTTAAAAGATTGGCTAAAACATTTAACTGTAACAATATTAGATTGTGCCCAATAAAACAACTATGTCAGTATTAGATGTTCAGTCCACATAGAACCGCTATATCGTTCCCAAAAAGTTACTGTTTTGATGTAAAATATGAAGAACAAAGTATTCAGTTTATGAACATTTGATTCTTTCTTAGAAATGGAGATAAAACTGTCGAATTCAACAATGGACAGAAGGAGATTCACACATCACAGTATAAACGCAGGGAGTACCCTGATGGAACCATAAAGACTGTGTATTCTAACGGGCGACAGGAAACAAAGTACTCCACAGGACGTGTCCGAATAAAAGACAAAGAAGGAAATATCATTCTTGATAAAAAGTGACTGATGAGGCTTCTGTTTGTATTATTTCGAACGGTTGTATTCAGTTTCAGAGTGGATGTTGGGATAAGATCCAACTAAGTTGCAATAGTTATGTAACAGCAAAACAATCTCACAATTCAATCCTGATTTCAATTGATTTTTCATGATTTGTTTTAAGTACAAAATATTGAATGTTCTTTGCTCAAAATCTGAGCCATTGTTGCTTGTGCACAATAACAAATTTGTTAACTTGGAAGAATAATGCATCTTTATGCATACAGGCAGTAGAATTTAGTTTGAGAAAAATTGAAATGAAATATGTATGTGTTATCTCTGAGCCACTTTACTCCTGATTAGGGTTGCTACCTTTTGGATTTTCCTAGAGCCTCCTGGAGCAACCTGAGGTAAAATCATAGGGACGTTAAAAATTATATTTACAACTTTGTTTGTAATTTTAAAATATTTGAGAAGAGCAACAAGCCTGTTTATTATCTAGATGGGCAAGTTGGAGATGCAAAGTTATATGACAAAATCTCTAGGAATACGTCCAAGCAGACTTGCCAGATCTATCCTGATGTTTATTATTTTATTCTGTGGTCATTATCATTAATTGATTACTCTTTCTCTTATTCACTAAGTGTAATAAGATTTAAAGATGTGAAATTTTCACCACATGCAGCACACCAAGTGCAATAACAAAAACAATTGAGAAACATTGAGATCACAGGACTTCACAGAGTGTTGAAAACAATGGGTAAAATAATCAATCCCAAAAAATGTTATTTGTCTGCCCTTTAATTAGAATTATTTAAATTACACAGACTGTACAGTGCAGAAACAAGTCATTCAGCCCAATGAGTGTTCAATTCCATTAGCAGCTCTGCAGAATTTAAATGTGCTTGTCTACAGAAAGATCAGGACTATACTCAGGCTTGGCCTGATAGCAAATGTGTAATTTTTGTGTCACACAAATGCGAGACAATGAACATTGCGAGCAAAAGGGTGCCTAGTTACCTCCCTTTGAGATTCAGTTACATTACCATCACTGAATGCCCCATCATCAATATCCTAGGGATCTGCATATTAATCAGAAATTTAACCGGACTACTCAAATATAACATCAGATCAGAATCAGGGAATTTTGCATTGAGTAACTCATGTTGAGATTCTCCAGAGTCTGTTCACTATCCAAAAGGGACAAGCCAGGAGTGTGATGAAGTTTTTTTCAATTTGCCTGGTGAAGTGCAGTTCCAACTATACATGAGTCTCAATTCCATCCAGGTCAAAACAGCTCACTTAATTTCCACCTTATTCACCATGCAGAATTTCTAATATTCCTGCAGTATGTACCATTTCCACCATGTATTGCAGCATAATTCCAAGGTTCCTTCAACAACATCTACAAAAATTGTGAACTCTGCCACTTAAAACGTCAATGACAACAGGCCAAAGGGAGCCCTATTGGCTGCATGTTCCCCTTCAAATCACACTACCCTTTCTTCATTATCATTGGTTCAAAATCCTGGAACACCCTCCCACTGTGGAAGTACATTCACCTGTGGAGTACAGCCACCCAAGAAGGTAGCTTATTGCCATCTGCTCAATGGCAATTAGATTCAAGAACAAAGATGACACAATATAGATGGAGGGAGACATAGTGTTGAGAAAGTGGGAAAACTGCAGAAGGATTGTACAGGGTAGGAGATTAGCTAGGAGAGTGGGCAAAGAACTGGCAGGTGGAGTACAATTTGAGAAAGTGTAAGGGTATGCACTTTGATAGGAAGAATTGAGGAGTAGACTATTTCCTAAATGGGGAAAAGCTTCAGAAAACCGAAGTATGTAAAAAAGACATGAAGGGCAAATTTTTTACACAGAATGTGGTTCGTTATGGAATGAACTTCAAGAGGAAGTGATGTATATGGATACAGTTTTAATGTTTAAAAGACATTTGGATAAGTATATGAATAAGAAATGTTTGAAGGGATATGGGCCAAACACAGGCAGGTGGGACTAGATTAGTTTGAGATTATGGTCGAATTATGGACTGGTTGGACCGAAGGGTCTGTTTTTGTGCTGAATGACTATGATTGATTGATTGAACTCGTAATACATAGGAACAGAAAAAAGCCTCTTAAGCTTGTTCTACCATTCAATAAGATAATGACAGATTTGTGACTTAAATCCATTTACTAGCTTCTGTCCCATATCCTTTCATAACTTTGGTTAGTGAAAAAAATCTAATAATATAAATATTTATGTATATTAATATGTACAAGTGAATCCCAATTTCCCTCCTGAAAAGTCTGGCTTGATTCTTTAGGCATTGCCTTCCTTAATATTTTCAATAACGGCACTTTAATTAATTGAGGAAATAAACTTTATGTTTTCTTCCCAGTGTTTATATCTCTCTCAGTCATACATTGAGCTAAGGTGATCAGTCTTCTTTATGTTTACATTAATGCTTAGCTGATTTGGTTGCCAGAAGATGCATTAATGCAATCCAGAGATAACTTTCTCAGCTGATTTATCCTTTTCTTCCTACGAGAAGATCACCTTCTCCTCCTCCATCCACATTGCTGAGATCAAGAACTCGGTTTAGGATTAGAGGAGATCTCCATGCATCTCTGTATTCTATAGTGTGGCACACGCAATGTTAATTCCTAGAAGCCCTACTTCTAAATAAAACCAGGAATTTGGAACTCCTAACCAAATAGTTCCATCGGACAGCCCAAAAGTTCTGATGTGTTAACTCATTCTCCCTCCTCTGAAACAAAATAGTTTGGTGTAATTTGAATTCTACTATTCGCACAGGCAGAGAAAAGAAATTAAACAACCATTACCTGTGCACAGTAGTGTATTTGGCAAATGATTTCATTAGCTTGAAGTTTTAGTATTCACTGTTATTTTTATTTCTTAGTGTCTGTCATTGCTTGGTGTCGGATAACTTTGCTGGCTATAACGACAGCCTAGAGATCTTCTATTGAGTATATATGAAATATCTGTTCCATGTTAACTACCAAGAAACATTCATGAGCAACCTAAGCAGTTGTTTCAAAATGTTAACACTGCTTTTACTTTCCAAAAGTGGGTGGATGAAATCAGTCAATGCACGGTAATGACAGACATAAGTGGGGATAATTTTGATTTCTGGTCTGTTGTACATCTCTCTTGATTTTAAATTCTCTTGACTTCAATGGAAATGAAAATTCAAGAGATATATAATGTGTAGTTAACTGTAATAGTCTGTATTACACTTGCTAAATCACAATCCCAATGCACAAACTATTCATTTCTCCCCTCAGTAATTTAACTTTTAAAGAAAATATTGCATAGAAATCAAAATAATTTTAAAAATGTCTTAACTAAATTTAAATTATTTAATAAGATTTTGATTAAAGTGCAGTTTTTTTTCTTACAGACTTAAAGTAATTCCTTGTCTTTATATATCATGTACCACATCGTTTGGTGACATTGCATAGAAAAAAAAGTTATAGTGAACTGTAAAAATATATAAGAATTTAGTATTGTTTGATTATGTCATGAATTTTCCTATTTGCAAAATTTTTATCATATAACTTAAACTTTATAAAATGTTAATATTAGATAAAGATTAGACATGTTTCAGTAATAAGTACCACAATCTATGTTTTACTTCTCTGTAATGTAATGGGGTTAATGTTGTTCAACTAGTTGTTCTAAATGTCTAATTTCTATGAATTGTAGCCACTTGTGACCATGTTTCCTTTTACATCTTAACATTTTTTTGGCATATAATACCATGATATTGTACATTATCACTATATAACATGACATAGTGATAGTCTTATAGTGATAATGGAATAATATGGATTGTCCTAAACCTTCTGTTTTCTGTTAAGCATGTTGGCTGCTGAGACATATATGAACAATTTGATTGTAACATGATTGAAATGGCATTGAGTCAGGACAGGTCAGGCAAAACTGAAGATTCAGCCAGTTTGTACAATGATGGCTCATTTGATCCTGTTAACCACATGAATGCTTATCTGGTAATTGTTAATGCTTATTAGTTTTAAGCACATAATTGAATAATGAGAATAATGTGGCTTAAAATGTTCATGCCTTCAAAACAGAAAATGAAATAATAATAGCAATGTTGCAAGACAGCTTAGGTATAAGAAGAATCTTACAAAATTTTATAGTAAAAGCAAATGGACAATAAACTGGCAGGTAAATTATAAATAAATTAGAATGTAACATATGTTATATAATATAAATATATTTTGTTTTTTGTAATCACATCTGAGTATATATGCCTGGGATCCACAAAACTTCAGTACATGCACATACAGATCTAACCCCTTGTTATAGTAGTTGATAGGACCATAGCTGAAGTCATTAATGGAGAGGGATGGTCAGTGAGGCAACCTCAGCCTCTTCCCTGATACGTGCTGGAGTTGCGGGCCTGCTCAGGGAGGCCGTCTGATTCCAAATCTGTGTCCAACATGGTTGTTGTGCCATTTTAGTTCCTGCTAATGAAGATCTACACCCCAAGGAATTTTGGAGCATATACTTTAATAAATAAGTATCAAAGATATTCTTGCAGCTGTTAGCTCAAAATAATTCAAATTTGTTGAAGTCAAATAAAAGTAATGGCCATAAGGTTGCGTTTGCATTTATGTTGAGCAAATTATTATTGTTACATCTATCTTAAATTGATGTTAACGGTCCAGTTCAGATTAATTTCACTTTTTTACATTTTAATAATGCATATTTAGAGCACATTATATGCATCTCTCTGACGATTAAATGCATTGTTTGGATTGGTATGCTAATTTATTTCAATTGTTTACTAACTATATGTAGCAAACATTTAGTTTAAATGTAGACAGTTCCCCTCATTATTTTCAGTACAGCAATCCACATTTAGCCAGGCTAACTACCATCTTGCAAAGAGTACTATTTCATCATGGTGTGACTGTAACGCTGTTTGACCTTCATTTGAAGCTAATTGTCTGGACTAATATTATACAGGTATAGTT